AAAAAAAAAAAAAAAAAAAAAAAAAAAAAAAAAAAAAAAAAGGAAAAATTCAACAAGGTTTCATGATTAAAAACTCACAACAAACTAGGAATAAAAGAAAACTGAACATAATAAAGATCATATATGAAAGGCCCACAGCTAACATACTCAATGGTGAAACACTGAAAGCTTTTCCTCTGACATCAGAAACAAGACAAGGAAGCCCACTTTCACTACTTCTATTCAACATAGTACTAGAAATCCTAGCCAGTACAATTAGGCAAAGGAAAAAAAAACAAACAAACATCCAAACCAGAAAGGAATAAGTAAAATTATGTTTGTATATGACATGATGTTAAGTGTAAAAATGCCTAAAGATTTCACAAGAAAAAACTACAAAAAAAACAAAAACAAAAACACAAAACTCTGAAAACCAATAAATTCAACAAAGCTGCAGGAAACAAAATGAACACACAAAAACCAGTTGCATTTTACATGCTAACAATGAACAATCCTAAAAGGAAATTAATAAAAACTCAATTTACAATAATATCAAAAAGAATACTTAGGGATAAACTTAACCAAGAAGGCAAAAGAGTTGTGCACTGAAAATGACAAAACCTGGCTGAAAGAAATTAGACACCAATAAATGGAAAGTCATTCTGTGTTTACAGACTGGAAGACTTAATATTAATATATCAATACTACCCAAAGTACATCTACAGCTCAATGCAATCCCTATCAAAATCCCCATGTTTATTGTAGAAATAGAAAAGTCCGGGGCCGGCCCGGTGGCACACTCGGTAGGGTGCGGCTCTTGGGAGTGTGGCAGCGCTCCCGCCGAGGGTTCGGATCCCATATAGAGACCGGTCCGCTTACTGGTTGAGCGCGGTGCTGGCGCGACACCGAGGGTTGCGATCCCGTTACCGGTCACGAAAAAAGACAAAAAGGAAAAAAAAAAAAGAAAAGTCCATCCTAAAATTCATATAAAATCTCAAGGAACCCTAAATAGCCAAAACAATCTTGAAAAAGAACAAAGTTAGAGGACTTGCACTTCCTGACTTGAGAACTTACTACAACGCTACAGTCAACAAAACAGTGTCATAGTGAGCACAGACATACAGACCAATGGAATAGGATAGAGTCCAAAAATAAACCCTTGCATATATGGTCAAATGATTTTCTACAAGTATGCCAAGACTTTTCAAAAAACGGTGCTGGAAAACTGGATATCCACATGCAAAAGAATTAAGTTGGACCCTATCTTTCACAAGAACAAAAATTAACTCAAAATGGATCAAAGATCTAATAAGAGCAAAAATTACAAAATTCTTGGAAGAAAACAGGCCGAAAGGTTCATAACTGGTTCAAAACACTGGGCAATGACTTTGGGATATAACACCAAAGCACAGGCAATAAAATTAAGTCTAGATAAATAAGACCACATCAATATTAAAATCATCCATATATCAAAGAACACAATCAACAGAGTGAAAAGGCAACCTACAGAATGCAAGAAAGTATTTGTGACATATATCTGATAAGGCATTAACATCCAACTATATAAATAACTCTTATGACAACAACAAAAAAACAAACAACCCAACTAAAAAATGGGCACAGGACTTGAATGGACATTTCTCCAAAAAAGATTTATAAATGGTCAATAGACACTCTAAAACGTGCTCAATCAACATCACTAATCATTAGGAAAATGCAAATCAAAACCACAAGATACCACTTCACATCCATTAGGATGGTTATTATTAAAAAAACACAAAGAGAAAACAAGTTTTGGCAAAGAATATGAAAAAATTGGAACACTTGTGTACCGTTGGTGGGAATATAAAATTGTGCTGTCCCTATGAAAAGTATATGTAAATATGGTGCTTCCTCAAAAAATTAATAGAATTACCATATGATCCAGCAATTCCACTTCTGGGTGTATACTCAAAAGAATTGAAAAAAGGGTTTTGAACAGATATTTGTACACCCATGTTCATAGTAGCATTATTCACAATAGCCAAGAGGTGGAGGCAACTCAAATGTCCATCGACAGATGAACAGATAACCAAAACATGGTGTATACATACAATGGAATATTATTCAACCTTAAAAAGGAACAAAATTCTGACACATGCTACAACATGGATGAACCTTGAGGACACTGTAATAAGTGAAATAAGCCAGTCACGAAAGGTCGAATACTGTATGGTTCCCCTTATATGAAGTACCTAGAATAGTCAAAATCATAGGACAGAAAGTAGAATGGTGGTTGTCAAGAGCTGGCAGGAGGGAGACTGGGGAGTTGTTGTTTAACAGGTACAGAGTTAACAGTTTTGCAAGATGAAAAGATTTCCAGAGATGGGTGGCAGTGATGGTTGCCCAACAATGTAATGCACTCAATGCTACTGAACTATACCCAGTACACTTAGAAATGGTTAACATGGTAAATTGTTGTGTATCTTTTACTACAAATAATTTTAAAATATTTTACAAAAAACTGAAAAAAGTGATTCTGTATCTTCCTATATACAGGTAGTCAAAGTTAACATCACCAATTCTGGGACAAATTACAGTCCATATTCTCGGCAGATGAATGCTTAAGCATTTGAGGCTCAAGAGGCAAGCTGTCAGCATTATTCTCGTATAGGTCTGTAAAATTAACAGTATATATACATAAGATGATAAAGTAAATGTAGCAAAATGTTAACATTTGGTAAGTATTGGAGAAGGGTATATGGGGGTTTATTTTACTATTCTTGTGACTATTGTAAACAGGAAACCTTTTCAAAATTAAAAAAGTTATTCTGGCTGGCCAGGTTTCAGGTGTCCTATAATAAACCATGAACCAAGGGACTATTAATACAGAAACTAGTAATCTTTTTCTTTTAAACACAGCATAAAGGAGTTCCTCTTATTTTGAACTCCCCAGGTATGGCTATCACTTCATTACCTGGCAGCATCATTTTATCCTACATAAGTGAAATTTTCCGATACTTGGAGCTTACCCCATTAGATGCCAAAATGCTATATTAATTAAGAGTTCCTCTTATTTTGAACTCCCCAGGTATGGCTATCACTTCATTACCTGGCAGCATCATTTTATCCTACGTAAGTGAAATTTTCCGATACTTGGAGCTTACCCCATTAGATGCCAAAATGCTATATTAATTACGTTATAAATCTTAAAAACTACTTCTTTGCCTTCTTGTTCAGATTTTGTTTTTTTTAATGATCAACATCTGAAAGCCTGATGGTTGTGCTTTTTGGTTCTCAAGTGCTTTTGAGGCTATTTATATAAAACATTACAGAAAAGTTTTTTGTCTCCATCTAGTGGTTAGATTATTAACTTCAAATGCCTTTATGTACCTGCTTTTTACAACATGCAATATTCCATTTGTGCTTGAATTTGTTGAAAGTAAACGTGAATAGGTTCTGAGAGGATCTTATGAAAAATGTTTTTAGTGCATAAACTTCATATTATTTTGGCTGTTCAAAGGCCTTTATGGCCAATAATCTTCTCACGTGTTTTTGAAAATCAAGGTCCCAATTTGTATCACAGTAGGATTTCTATAATTAAAATGACTTACTGATAAAATTTTCTTGGGCTTAGTCATCTTCTTGACCTATAAGAGATCTCTCATAATTAACTCTGTAGAGACTATTAAAATAGTGATTATCACAAAAATAGAGCAACAAGAAACACAGTGGTAAGCTGTAATTATTTCTCCCCCAGTTGCTCAACTGCTATTAGCAACTGCTATGGTAATTTTCAATTACATCCATATTCCCTCTAAGACAGTATTTCTTGATCTTTCCCCCATTATAGCCCCCCACCCCTGGAGAAAAATTTAAATTTATTAAGATAAAATAACTATCCCTTAACAAGAGAAGCACTAAGAAATAAGATTTTGTTGCTATTCCATTTCAACCCCAACTGGGATACTGTGATTCAATTCTGATACTAAATACCAAGTTAGTGTCAGACTCCACAGCTTTAAGAGTTCAGTGCTCCATAAGACTGCCCCCACTTCAGGGGCCAGCTGCAAGCAAGGTCCCCAGGCCATGGCCCCTTCTGACTGGCTACAAATTCTGTGTTCTCACAACACTTCCAGGTTCAAGAATTTGCTAAAATGACTCAGAACTCAGGAAAGCACTACATTTTACTATAAAGCTATACTTAGTTAGCTTTATTACAAAGGAAACAAGTTAGGCAAATTGGTCAAATGAAGAGCCACCTAGGGAGAAGTCTGGAAGGGAGTGCAGATCTTTGTGCCCTTCTCCTCATGAAGTCCATGGTTTGTCACACACATCAATGCGTTCCCCAATTAGGAGGCTCCACTAAGCTTCTGTGTCCAGCGCTCTAAATTAGGGTTTCATTATGTAGGCAAACAGGCCACCTGACTGAATCTCAAACTCCCCAGTCTAGCTGGCCTCAAGTGCTAACCCTCTAATTACACGGTAGGTCTTTCTGGTGACTAGCCTCCATCCTAAAGCTATCTAGGTGCCTACTACAAGTCACCTCCTTAGCATAACAAAGACACTCCTATTGCTCAGAAAACCCCAGGTGTTTTAGACCTTCCTTTTGGAGAACCAGGGACAAAGAACAGTCAAATTCCTCATTATACCACAGTCAGAATAGCACTTTTAAGGGTCACAAACTACTATGATATCTTAAGATTTCTCCCACTCACCAAAAACCAATATTTGCCCCCACTGAGAATGCATCTTCTAAGACAATGAAGAGACAGCCCCCCAAAACCAGAATGAAATTTTATTGTGTAAAGTCTATAGAAGTATGACTAGTATTCCTCTGTACAAAGTACACAACAAACGGTTTTAAATACAACTGAGAAAAATGTGGGTCCTATGGCAACATCTGATAACAAGCTGAACCATTTACAGACACACTAAAAATTTCTTAAAATATTATCTTCTTTCTCCAAAGAGTCCATTGCGCATTTCTTAGAGTAGAGATGGGCACACATCCCAGGCAAGGTCACAATGGCATTTTATTGCCCTCGATGCTGATTTTCACTGCGTGTGCAGATCTGCTTTTTTTCCTTATATCTGTGAACTTTCTCATCTGTTTATCCAGTCGACTGATACCTTTCTTGGAGGTTGCCTGAAACTAAGAGTGGGGGAAAAATTAAAGAGCAAATTATTAAAATACATAAATCTAGTTTGTTTTCTGGCAGCTGGCTGGTACAAGGATCCAAACCCTTGACCTTGGTATTATAATATCGTGCTCTAACCAACTGAGCAAACTGGCCAGCCCCCAAATAGTTTTGCCTTTCTTCTTCTTACATCTGAAAATTAGCAGTCAGAAGAGCTCCTAGCTGTAGAATAACCAGAATATGTTTTGGTGACCTCAGGAACAACAAAGCAAGTGTATACAACAGTGTTAGAAACACACATTAAGCTCTCTCAGTGAAGAATAATTTTGTTACTGTCTGTGCCTTATTTTTAACTTTGCTGCAGTCCACAGAAATTTAGGTGAAATAAAAGAGGGGAGTTCAGCCTATGTTCCTCCCACTTCCATCATTTACATGACACTTTGTATGCTCTTCCTTTTCAAAGACCCAACATAGGGAAAAGCACTTGGCATACACTTTCAAACAGTGCTGGCATAAAAAAGAATGGTCTTCTAAAGCGAAGTCATCTGAGAGAAAGCCTTCAAGCATAATAAATGAGGTTAGAGGATTAGTGAAGCAAACCCGTAAGTGCTAGAGCACTAGAGTTTCAGACCTGGAGAGTGAATCCCTGCTCTGCCTCAGCAGATTCTATAGCCAAGGGCAAAGCACACCCCTGGCCGGTACTCATTCCAGAAGTAAACAAAATAATGATGTCAAATAACAAACACAAAGGCTAACACACAGTTGATGCTCAAAATAAATAGGAGTTATTACTATTACTTCACAATATTGTAATTGTATTGAAATAGTAATAACAGTAATAGCTCCTATTTATTTTGAGCACCGACTATATGTTAGCCTCTGTATTTGTATTTGACATCATTATTTATTTGACACAAAAGTAAATTTATACTTGATACTAAAAATTAAGTCTCTTCCTGCTTGCGCTTTATGTTTAAAGGTTTGTTTTGCAGTTATTTCTTTTATATTTTGTAAAGACTAGTATGTCTTGCAAAGATGTGTTCTCCAAGAAATTGACACCTTTCAGAAATGCTTGAAAAGGTCTGCCACTGATATCCAAGATCAGAGTGAACTCTTCTTGCTGACTGTGTTGCTAACAATTCAGATGTTTAAGAATGGTTAGTGATTAAAAAGATGGATTTTTTTCTAACTCCTCTCCACCAAATGTTTACTACTGAATCATCTCTGAAGCAAAAGAATGCTAAAATTAGGAGTGCCTAGGAGATACTCAGGGGTCAGTACCCAGAGTAGTAAAAGTTCTTTTGAGTCTGGAAGCCTTCCTCCTGGACTTGGAGGTGCGATAAGACTCACCCCCAATATGAAGTCAGGTGAACACTAGGCAAGGAACTCTACATCATTCTTGACAACAGCCATATTTGCCCATATAGCCTAGATTTTCCAAATATTACTCTCTATCAATCTCAATTCTCTGTTAGCATAAAAATTGTCAGATGAGAAAGAGCTATGCCACCATCATGCTATCCCCCAGATTCCCTGGACAGTCCCAAATATCTGATTTCTTTTCAGATGATGTACCCTGATTTTTAGTACGTGCAGTCAGTCCACACTGGAAGCCTCTCCTGCTCAGATCTCTACCAACTACCCAACTTCCAGCAGTTTTGTACACCAGTCTGGACTTCTCTTTGACCCCTCCCAGGACCTTCCCTAATAGGTTGAGCCCTGATTGATCTAACCTTGGCAGCAGAGACGCATAGGCCAGTGCCAACCTATTCCTAGTTACAACATATATGACTCGTAGCTGGCAGATGCAGTTACCCTAAGCCTGAAAACACACAGAACTAACATGCCAAATTCAATGATCTCCATCCCGATTCATCAAATCTACACCAAACTTCCCTAGGACATTAGAAGTGTATGCTGCAGTGCTTTACCAGAGCAAAAATAAAAGCAACTTAAAAAACTAGCAAGATGGGTTTGCTTTAAAAAAATTATGGTACAACTGTATGAAAACACAATATTAAATCACTGAAGAATGTTTACTCAAATGGATTTTTATCATGTTAAGTAAAAAACAAATAAACCCAAAAGAATATGATCACAATGTTGCTTGAAAAAATTTTTTTAAAAAGTCATAATATTTATGCATGCATATAAAAAGGACCAAAAGGAAATTATCTAAAATGTTAATATTAAGTTGTATTGGGATTATAGGTGAAATTAATTTTATTTGTGCTTCATTTATTTTTTAAAGTTTATACAAAAACATGCATTGCTTTTATCATTTTAATGTTATTTTAAAAGTATTCCATGGAATAAAAAATAATAAAAAATACAATGTAGTGCAGGTTACTGCATTATTTAGTAGTGAAGAATCAGAAGCCATAAAGGAATGAATAAACAAATTATGATATACACACAATAAGCCATTATGTAGCTATTAAAAATGATAAATCTAGGGCCAGCCCGGTGGCGGACTGGAGAGTGCGCCGCTTGAGAGTGTGGCGGCGCTCCCGCCGAGGGTTTGGATCCCATGTGGAGACTGGTTCCCACTCACTGGCTGAGTGCAGTGTGGGCACAACACCGAGGGTTGCGATCCCGTTGCCGGTCCCCGGTACGGGTGCGACACCGAGGGTTGCGATCCCGTTACCAGTCAGTAAAAAAGACAAAAAGGAAAAAAAAAATTAAAAAAAGATAAATCTACAAGGTGGTTTAATGAGGGGAAATGACCAAAATTACATATAGAATTATTTTAATTATATTAAAGTATCGACAGAAAAAAAGACAAATTATATTAAACTGCTTTTAATGGTGGGACCATGAATGATTTTTCTTTTTATAACTTCCAATTTCTATACAATTATAAAAACTAAGTTTGAGGCATAACTGGAAATACATTTATAACATCAAATTGTTAACAGTGCTAAGTGGTAGAGTAGGACTTTGGGAATGGGGTTGCTCGATAGTGTTTTATATTCACTTACATAACTTCAAAAATAAAAATAATATTTAAAACAGAAAGAATTTCATTTGAAAGCCAAAACTCACTCCAATTTTCTTCTTGGACAATATGTTTTCTAATAATATTCATTAGTGTCTGCAATGTGGAAGCCCTGAATGACTATGCAAGAAAACTTCTGGAACAGGGAAACAGTACCAGGCAGTTTATTAGTAAGTAGGAGAACAACACAGGATCCTCAGCCCCTAAAACATGACTGATTTTTTGACAAAGTTCTATAGGCCAGACTGAGACCTTGATAAACATCAGCACATTATGATAATGTGGAGTCTTGGGGGTGCAGAAAAGGAGCTCTCCTTGAGCTTCTCTTTTTCCTCACACTCTAGCAGGAGGTGGGATCAGAACCAGCAACACCAGCAGACAGGCACCCAGTCCCTTGAGGACATGAGGCATACTTTGAAAGCAGACTGGCCACTAAGAGTTATTACATTTTCTTTGCCAAACTGTAGTTCCCAATTCTCGAAAACAAAAATGTCGGGGAAGAAAAAGATATTATGAAAGAAAAGGCTAAAAAAGGGAAGAGACAGTTAAAAAAAAAAAAGGAGAAGAAAGTAAAAAAGAAATGGGGGTGAGGAGAGGCACACCAAGGACAGGTAGCCAAGGAGCATGGATACAGGTACAAGTAAGTGAAAGGAAGAAAGTACAGATAGAAGAGGAAGTTCTTGGCATGGAACTAGTCCTCCTCTACCCTTTATTCTCAATAAATAAGAAAATGTGCTTAGTCTTGACAGTTACTTAATAGCAAAGTGAGCTGGCAGGAAGGTGAGTGGAGTCCGTGGAAACAGTTGCCAAAGCAAGGGTCACAGAGAAGCACAAAAGGCAGGTAAGACACGTAGGCTCTCTGTGTACATTGCAGCAAAGGTGTCACTATTAATCCAGGGCATAGAGGGTTAGTGAATCTGGCTTCTGAACGTTCTAAAGTCTTTTTCATTTCTGACCATGTATTGAATATGTATCAATGAAATTTATCTTCTAAATATTTAGTATAAGGCTGTATGTAATGAGTCCTCAGATGCATGGTGCTGAGCCACTGACTATAGGAAAACAAGCCACCTCCCCTCCACCAAGAAGCCACTAACCAGTTTATGTGCCTGTAATGCAGACCAGTTATGATTCTGGACCCTAACAAAGGGCTTTTTCATAAAAACAGGTACCAGTCAGGAAGACCAAAATGCTTATCAGGGAAGTAATTATCTAGCAGTCGCTAGGATACTGATAAAGGAAAGGACTTCAATGACAGTATCTAAATATTCAAGTCCTGAATGTCCCAAGGTGCCTGTTAGGGTCATTATTTCAGAAACTTAAAGTGGACCTCGACTTTTCTGGTTAAGAAAACACAAGCACACACATTTCCACTTTGATGACAAGTTAAGCCCACACACAGCACATGCTCCTTCGGGATACCTCTCATATACACTCTGGTAAGGCCAGGCCTACAGAGGCATCCTGTTGCCTTCAATGCTGAACTTGACAGCACGGTGCATTTTGCTGAGACGTTTCTGTTCTGCAAATCGCCTCTTATGCTTTTCCAATCGGCTTAGGCCCTTTTTAAGAATACCAGGCTAGAAAGAATAGTTTGATTGGAGAATAAAAAAAGATTACTGAGAAAAACTGAAGATCACAGAGTAGTGTCTACAATGATAACGAGGAAGTGGCTATCATATTTCACAACAGAATTGCTTAAACAGTTTTAGAGAAAGGGAGCGGTAGATCTGTGGAAGCAGGTAAATTCTGTTTCTCATGGCTCAAAAAAAAGTTCACTGTTATCAGAATACTCTAGGCTTCAAGACTCACTTGAAATAAAAGAATTAAGAAGAAACTTCCCTACTTGATAATGTTGCTTTAAGTCTGAAGAAAAGTTCATCAGCAATAGATTAAGAAGAAGAAACTTCCCTACTTGATAATGTTGCTTTAAGTCTGAAGAAAAGTTCATCAGCAATAAACTTTAATCTTGGGTAACACTTTTTCTTTCTCTGATTGTTCACTTTGTGATTTGGCTAGATAAGAGACCAGAAAATATATCTCTTTGAATGAGATAAACCTCAAGAACTACAGGGTTATTAAACATGAAGTAAAAAATAAAATAGTACTCTGCATCTGAGAACCACCTTGCTATTCCTCTGACTGCTTACCCTGGATGACTCCATTTCCACATTCCACTTGGGCCTGACAACATAGTCCTTGTTTGAGGGCATTGGGACTCTTGCGCGGGCACAGAATCCAGGATCTCCAGGTCTAAGAGCTCTGAGAAAAAGATGAGGAAGAGCATGCTGGTTATGTAGTCTGCCACAGCGGGTCCAAAGGCAATTTCACACTCTTGTTCCTGGGTCCACCCCATTTAGCTGCAATATTTCAAACCTCCTCTATCCTCCCAAGATCACCCAATCCCCCTGCCATCTCCCTTAGTTAGCCTCGTCACCACATACAATACTGTGTGAATTCCTCACTTCACTCCCAAAGTCAACTTTCTTTGCATTTGCATGGATCCTTCTCACCTGTCCTCAGCTTCAGATACAATCATGGCCCTCTCCTTTCCAAGGTTGGCCCTCCAGCAGGACTCTGAATGCTAATATCTCTGACCTAGTGAACACTCACAAGTTCACTTGAGAGGTCAACAATCAGATAGTCAAGATGACACCCCAAAACTCTCTAAGTATGCCCATAACATAGTTTATATGGTTTTGCCTATGCAAGACATACAGTAACTTTTGTCTGTTACTTTTTATTAAAAAACTTTTGGTGATATTTACNCTCAAAAAAAAGTTCACTGTTATCAGAATACTCTAGGCTTCAAGACTCACTTGAAATAAAAGAATTAAGAAGAAACTTCCCTACTTGATAATGTTGCTTTAAGTCTGAAGAAAAGTTCATCAGCAATAAACTTTAATCTTGGGTAACACTTTTTCTTTCTCTGATTGTTCACTTTGTGATTTGGCTAGATAAGAGACCAGAAAATATATCTCTTTGAATGAGATAAACCTCAAGAACTACAGGGTTATTAAACATGAAGTAAAAAATAAAATAGTACTCTGCATCTGAGAACCACCTTGCTATTCCTCTGACTGCTTACCCTGGATGACTCCATTTCCACATTCCACTTGGGCCTGACAACATAGTCCTTGTTTGAGGGCATTGGGACTCTTGCGCGGGCACAGAATCCAGGATCTCCAGGTCTAAGAGCTCTGAGAAAAAGATGAGGAAGAGCATGCTGGTTATGTAGTCTGCCACAGCGGGTCCAAAGGCAATTTCACACTCTTGTTCCTGGGTCCACCCCATTTAGCTGCAATATTTCAAACCTCCTCTATCCTCCCAAGATCACCCAATCCCCCTGCCATCTCCCTTAGTTAGCCTCGTCACCACATACAATACTGTGTGAATTCCTCACTTCACTCCCAAAGTCAACTTTCTTTGCATTTGCATGGATCCTTCTCACCTGTCCTCAGCTTCAGATACAATCATGGCCCTCTCCTTTCCAAGGTTGGCCCTCCAGCAGGACTCTGAATGCTAATATCTCTGACCTAGTGAACACTCACAAGTTCACTTGAGAGGTCAACAAATCAGATAGTCAAGATGACACCCCAAAACTCTCTAAGTATGCCCATAACATAGTTTATATGGTTTTGCCTATGCAAGACATACAGTAACTTTTGTCTGTTACTTTTTATTAAAAAACTTTTGGTGATATTTACAGATTCACATGAAGTTGTAAGAAATAATACAGAGAGATATTCAGCATCTCTCCCAATGGTAACAACTTGCAAAATTATAGTATAATATCATAACCAGGATATTAATGTTGATTCAATCCACTGAACTCATCTACATTTCCCCAGTTTTACTTGTACTCATTTGAGTGTATATATTCTATGTAAATTTGAGAGCAACCATGCTAGACTAAAATAAGATTAGCATCCTTCAAAAGTAAAGCCTATCTGCTAGATATCTGGACATCCAACCCACTCGACCTTTACATAACTACCTCTAGTGGTATAGGTGTGGTGTATGTGTATCTGTTGGGGGTGGGGAAAGGAGAAAGGCAAAACTTCTAAATTGTTTCTATTCCCTTTTACAATGTACCCTATTTTTAACATTAAGCTTCTATAACCTTCACACATGTATGAACAGATTAATTGGCTAGCCAAAGAAAATTCTCCGTAATTCTTATTCCCCCCCGAAGCCACTATCTCATCAAACTTATCTATAAACAAACTACACTTGCTTTCTCCACCTCATCTCCTATTCTCCTCCTGCAATCTGAATGCTGTCTGACTGCCAGTACTCACTGGCACAAATCCTTCTGCAGCACCTGCCACTGTCCCATGCCTTCACCACTGCCCACCTCTGGTGCAGCCTCACTCCCCTCTATGTTCTGCTCCAATGCATATGATCACATCCATTCATTTTCACTGGCTACTCTGGCTGGCTACATCCCTCTTCAATGTTGCTTAGTTCATTTCTTACTCTATAGTCTCTCGATCCAACAGTCTTTTCTATGGAGACAACCATCAAATCTGTTTCCAGCCTAAATTATCTCTTTAAATTCCAAGTTCTAGGCTCATGATACTTATAAGAATATCTCAATAGACATCTACATCTAACATACTCAAAACAGAACTAGCCTATTCCTTCAAATCTACTCCTCTCTCCATTTTAGTGAGTGGTAAGACTATTGTCTCAATACTTACGTTAAAATTTTGGTTGAAATTTGGTTAAAATTTGGTCTTCAACTCTAGTCAACTTCTCCCCCACTAAGTCACCAATCCCTGGCAACTTGGCCCCTGCAATGTCTTCTCACTCTTCTGCACCCTCTTAATTATCTCAGTTTAACTATCACTGCCTTCAGTTCCACTGCCCTCCAACTCATCCTACATCATGCTATTTCAAATCAGTATAAGCATTCCAAAACAAATCGGATGACTTCCATCCAGGATCCAAAACTTTCTATGGATTCACAAAGAAAAGTCAACATGCTTCATGTTGACTTAAAGCCCTTCACTGGTCCACATCTCCATTTCCAACCTTATCTTCCATCACCTCAAGCACCACACAACTGCCCAACCACTTCAGTTTATTTGCCATTCTGAAAACAGGCCTTGTACACTTACTCAACATCTCTGCCTAAGCTCTCCCTTTGCTTATCATCCCTCTACAGACTTACACTTTTTGAGGGCATGGACTATTTTTAATTTGCTTTTATATTCTCGGAGTTTAACAAGGAGTCTAGCATTTAGCAAGCAGCAATGAAATCTTTACTGAATAAACTATTTCCTCAATTTTCTTATATATCCAGAGCACCCAATACAATGCTTTGTAAATAGTCAATAAATGTTATGAAAAGCACTCCCCACCAATGTGAACATAACATCATTTCATTTGCTATTTTTCTTAAAGCAAACAGAAATTTGCTGTATAGTCTAAGAAAAATTAATACAAAATCCTTACTTCTCCTCTCCTGTCAGCACCTTTTCCAGGTCTCTTCGGGGTGTCTGACCACCAGTGCTGGGAAAAAAGATAATATGGAATGTTAAAACCTTATAACTGAGAAAAAGAGCAAACTAAAATAGCAAACTTAGACCGTAATTAGCTCCTTCGTATAAGTCAGGGAAAATAACTTCCAATCTTAAAAGTACTACTCATTTTAGCATTCATTTGCATAACAGGTTTCATTATGGGTGAGCCATAACTGTCATATTTGTAACTACTGACCCTCTCTTCCTGGATGCAACCGTACCCAGTATATCGATACAAAAATGAACCAGTAACATTTTTTTTCTCCTAGGAATTTGGAAATGGGACTGAAAAACAGCAAGTCATTTTCTGCAAGCGGCTTGAACAACACAAGCAATCTCCAGTACTGTGGGAGAGGCCACATTCCACCAAAGTGACCCAGAAAGGGTTTGGTGGGGAAAGAACACCTACCTTCACCGTACATTATTACATTTAAACTAAAAGGATATTATGAACTACGCAGACATACCAAGCTGAGAAGACAAAATCCTGTCATTTTGCATGTTTCTTTCTTTCTTTTTTTTTTTTTAAAAGATGACCGGTAAGGGGATCTTAACCCTTGACT